ACCAGAATGGTCCCAGGGAGTAAATATTTCAACAATCAAACTATTTATATCATGGTTTTTACAACTAAGAAAAAATAATAGCCTTTACATTTTCTGATTCCTGCAAATTAGGATCATTTCCATCAAATTTTCAAAATTACAATTTTGATAAAGGGTTGAGAATCAATAAATACATAGACTGAATTTCACATTTTGAAGACTTTTGCCATTGTAAAAAATAAAGATGTCTCACAAAATCTTAGCTATCTTGACTTTACATGGTCCAAGTTGATGCACCTCTTTTTTCCAGTTTCAGAACAAAACTGATAGTTTAAGCCAGCTGTTAAAACCCCGTTTTAAGAAATGTTTGTAGAGCTGTAGTGAGGTGAGAATGTCCCATAACATGAGGACATAAGTTTAGGACTCCAATATCAGAGTTTTAATATTTACCATTCAAGGCAGAAGTAAGTTCAGGACTGCGATATCAGAATTTTAATATTTACCATTTAAGGCTGAAATAGGTTCAGGACATTGATATCAGAGTTTTGATATTTACCATTTAAGGCAGAAATAAGTTCAGGACTGTTATATGAGAGTTTTAATATTTACCATTCAAGGCAGAAGACTGTCATACATAAATACATACGAACAACATGCATGTCTAAAAACTGCTGAACATCAACAAGAATCACACCTTGTGTTAGACATGTACAAAATGTCAGAGTCTATTTGTCAGAGCTGTCTGGGGTTTTCTACAAAATTGATACATATGTATTTATATGCATATCTCATTTTGTACAATTGTTTTTAGAATACAGATACACCTTGTAATGGCTCAAAACTATATTTCTCAGCAAATATCATGACACGTATATCAATTTTCTTATCTTTGCCTGATCACCCTCCATTAGATGAGGGCTGTGTTTGATCGATTTCTTCGAAGACCTGCAAGCACATGGATAACAGATGCATTCTCTTGTTCTAATGGCTAATAAAGTACGTTGTATTTTTACTATTTCCTCAGATTGTCTCTCTATTGTACTGAAGGAATGTAACATTTTCATATCTCTACCTCTAGTTTGCGATAACGTGATACATATAAAATGACAGTAATATATAGTTTTTAGCTTGGAATTAATCAAAACAGTGGGCATCAGCTGTAAGATTCTTCCTTCTCTGCCTCATTGTCACAGCTGTGGATCTTCGTTTAAGGTTTTTATTACAAATGATAAAACTAATAGCAGATATTATGTATTTGTCAGAGGCACTGAGACAATATGAGAACTGTATTTTTATTTCTTGGAGCTAATATTTTGCCGTTGTTCTGATTGGGACTTGTTTACAGGGATGAAATAATTCAAACCTAAATTCCCTACATCATTTGGCTACAGCTGCGTTACACTTGGAAGTCCATTCGCATCTTTATCACTTTCGGTGGCGAAGCTGTCAAAAGTTGATAAAGTTGTTAGGGTGCTATATGTAAAAAAAAATCATTTTTGTGGGGTTTGAATTTTTTGCTCCATGTAAGGATGGAGTGGATATGAATTTCTGGAAATTGTAATTCATTATCAAAGAAAACATTGATCTGTTGAATAACTTATTTTAAAGATACATTAATGTTGAAAATTTGGACCTAAAAAAAGAAATTACCAAAAAGTGTTTTTAAATTATAAGGTAAGATTGGCTTGATGTTTGGGTTTAACATGTCTAAATAATTATATGTCTATGTACAAAAATGTCTTCCCTTGAGCAGGGGGTGGGCCTTCACATCCAGGTGTGTCCTGGAGTAGGAGGGAGACAGCCCGACCCTGACTAGAAGCAGTCCAGGGTTGAATTGGCTGGGAGTTCCCGTATGCCGGAGGTTTTACCATCGGGTAGGGACTTCCAGCTGCCAATCACTGTCTTGACGCCAGGTCTGTACTTTCAAGTGCAGGTTCCGGGGCCAGAGACTTCTTGTTAGGGTTGTCTGTGTCTACGAGGATTTGTGACTCTCAGTTCACTAATCCTTGCGTCCATGCAGGGCCTGTTTTCCCACCCTCTCAGATTCCTGGTTCTAGGCTTTTCCGGTCCAGTTCAGAGTTCACTGTGCAGGGGTACCAAGGGGGTACAAAGGGACTGGGTTTGCAGGCCAGGCATTCAGTTTCCCAATAGATGTCCACATCTATTTTGACGATTCCCTCATGTTTCACCTAGTGAGGGGAATCGCTAGTGAAGGACACCCGTCTGGTCCTCACAGTCTTCCTCAGAGTCGGCTTCATTCCTTCCAGAGAGAAGTCAGAGGTTTCCCCATCTCAGGACTTTGTTTTCCTGACAAATCGTTTTGACACTATTCCGGGTTTAGTCCTTCCACCATTGGAAAAGTTCGAGAAGGCCAGGGCTCTGGCTCTTAACGTTCATCACTTGGTTGCATGTCCAGGTGTGTTACTCAGCTTTCTGCAGTAACTCAACTCCCTGGCAGATGTGGTCCCCCTAGGGAGGCTTCACATCAGAACTCTCCAGCTGTTCCTCCTGTTCAACTGGGTTCTTTCATCCAGGGATTGGGAGGCCTGGATTCCTCTTACCCAGTAGGTAAGGGAGTTTGCTCGTGTGGACCATTCAGGAGAACGTTCTCTGCGGTGTTCCTTCGACCAAGCCTGTCCCCTCTATCACCCTGTTCACGGATGCGTCCATGACATTATGGGGAGCTTACCTTGACAGCCAATGCTGCTCGGGGGAGTGGTATGGGGAACAGCTCTCGGAGCCCTGGTGCTGGATTCCCTGACTTGGGCTCCCTATGAACCTTTGGAGTTTGCCTCGTTAAAGTTCACTACTTTCCAGGCAGTCTTCCTTGCCAGGCCATTACGTATGCTTTCGGGCATTCTGATGATTAGGCCTGGGTGAGAGTGAAAGTGTGGACTTATGAGGTTAGGGCTGCATCCTGGACCTTTCTCAGTGGGTCCTCCTTTCAAGAGGTCATGTTTGCCTTCTAGCGGGGCAGGGATACCTGCATGTGGGTGCACATACACCTGTACGGGGAGGTCTGTCCTAATCTCTGGCACTCTATTCCCCCTCCCTACTACTTCTGCTGTGTTGGATGTGCGGCCTGGCATCTAGTCACCACTATGGTAAGACGAATTCGCATACTAAAGTTATGGTAATTATTACTGAAATGAAATCCTCCCCTCTTCCTTTTCTGCACCTCAGTGGGACTCCATAAAGGATTTTAGAGGATGGAAGATCACTATATGTCTCTGCCATGATGGCTCATGGGATCGTAGGGAGGGTGGGATTTTTTAATCTGTTGTTGTTTTGGGGTATAAGGATGGATGCAGGTATCATATATACATACTAAAGTTATGGTAAGTATTACTTCATAAAAATTGGTTTTACATGAAAAAACCTCAATTTCATGGGATCCAATTCTAGCCGACACTACCAAAATGTAACCAATTTCCCATGAGGTGTTGTCTCTGTACTTCACAGTAACATATGTACCTGTAGCTATGTCATCATAATGTTGTGTTTACACACATCAATATACACCTCTCTCTGGGGACTACATGGCAGAACTTTAAAGTACTGTTGGTGAGTAACCTGTGTGATACCCACAGTTGTTACTTAATTATACTGCATGTTTTTAATTACTGGTTCCATGTTAATTGGTTTAGTCCAGCCATTACTTCCATCTTTTGATGATACAGGAAGGACTCTTCAAAGCACATGTTTAATTAGGTCTGTAAGTTTCGGGATATTGGTCAACAAGAGAGGCTATCATAGCCATTTTGTACTTTAATTGGACTCTTCTGATATACTTTTTTTATTAAGGTATACCCTGGAAAGTTCTGGACTTGGTTCATTATGGTTTAATTATGCAAGAAATAAGATAAAATGGGAGTTTTGTATTTTACCCATCGGTCCATCAAAGAGTAAGGACGCAATGCCAGATGAACATTGTGAAGTGTTTATATTATGAACCAGGTAACTAAAGATGTGATATTCTTCATAATGTAGAGAGGGACCCAGATTTATTGTACAAGCATTGTAACATGCTGTTAAGTAGCATAGGTAAAATTACAGTAAATCACAGTTCAGTAAAAGTCCATGCGACCAAAGGAAATATTTGACTTACCTGATGGTTCACCTTAGCCGTGACCTAGTGCAAAGAAGGTTGACCCCATTTTCATGGGTTGTTTACTACTGAATACGTGTTTCATAGTCTGGCGTGATAGTCATAAATAAGATATAAAACAAAAAAGAATATTTTATATTTTCTTTTAAACAGTTATGAATATGAATATAGAACAAATTATGTAACATGAAACACTTGCCGTTGTAGCACACAACATGTGAACACGCACCCACTCTCATGTACATAACTTAGTAAAATGTTGTATTTACGTTTATATCTTTAAGAGTCAAAAACATTTTTAAAATGAAATGTCAATAAATACATTTTCATAAACATTCTACATTGATGCAACAATGATAGCATTGAGGTGGGTTACAGAAGGTGAAGGTCACTGCAATATCACTCAAGCATAACTATACATGAACCGTGCCCATAAAAGGAAAACAGAACACAGTAAATTTATGTTTAAATACAGCGCATTTTGTTTTAAGTATGGTTTCCAAATTCTTTATAAATTCAAACATTCACCTCAGCACATGTATAAATGCAGGAATTAATGTTTGATCAATACTAGAAACAATAGGGCCTATTATCACAGATACGGCTGACCGATCTCACTCAGTCATTCAGACTAGAGCCAGGAAATATTTACCTGAGACAAGGTGATGCCTGAATGTTTGACACAAGGAAGGAAATTTTCATAGAATTTAAAAGGGATGAATCGCAAAATATATTTGACACAAACACAGTGTTCAAATCATCTGTGTTTAATTCATTCAGATGAAGAAGAGAAAAAAATTGGGATATTTTATTCAAGCGTGTTTCACACATACTAAAGAGTTATTGTTTGAAAAAAGATATAAGTATATTTCACATATCACTAATTTGACACGATATTTATTGTATTTTTCAGAAGGATACTTTGGGACACGTTCTGTTTGAACAAGTATGCAACAAGTTAAACCTGATGGAGAAGGATTACTTTGGTCTGAGATATGTGGACTCAGAAAAACAGAGAGTAAGTAATGTGTGTTGTGAAACACAGAAAGTTTGCAACATTAAAGATAAACTTGTATTCAAGACTACTTAAAAAAAACCTCAAAGAAATTGAAGGGAATGCAGATTTCATGTTAAAGGATTACATATAAAGTTATGTAGTTTTCATCCTTGAAATAAAATCTTTAAACCTATCATAAAAAAGCTGTATAAACAGTATACTGATTCTGTCCTTTTAACAAATTCTGCAATTAGTTTTGCCTTTACTTATATATATATATACCAAAAACTGTTAAGATTTCATTAAGACTTCTTAACTCGATATTTCACTTAGGTATCTAGACATGTCTTGTTTCATTAAGACTTTTTAACTCAATATTTCACTTAGGTATCTAGATGTGTCTTGTTTCATTAAGACTTCTTAACTCAGTGTTTCACTTTGGTGTCTAGATGTGTCTTGCTTTATGAGGAGTTTCTTAACTCAATGTTTCACTTTGGTGTCTAGATGTGTCTTGCTTTCATTAGGATTTCTTAACTCATTAATTCAGATTGGTGCCTAGGCATGTTGTGTGTTATGAGGACTTTTTGACTCAATATTACAGATTAGTGTTTAGGCATGTCTTGCCTTATGAGGACTTTTTGACTCAATGTTTAAGATTGGTGTCAAGCTATATCTTGCTTTATGAGGACTTTTTGACTCAATATTTGACTTTTGTACATATATGTGTCTTTGTTAAATGATAATTCTTGACTCAATAATTCAGATTGGTGTCTAGGTATGTCTTGCCTTATGAGGACTTTTTGACTCAATGTTTAAGATTGGTGTCAAGCTATATCTTGCTTTATGAGGACTACGTATATGTGTCTTTGTTAAATGATAATTCTTAATATTTCAATATTTCACTTTTGTACGTATATGTGTCTTTGTTAAATGATAATTCTTGACTCAATAATTCAGATTGGTGTCTAGGTATGTCTTGCCTTATGAGGACTTTTTGACTCAATATTTCACTTTTGTACATATATGTGTCTTTGTTAAATGATAATTCTTGACTCAATAATTCAGATTGGTGTCTAGGTATGTCTTGCCTCATGAGGACTTTTTGACTCAATATTTGACTTTTGTACATATATGTGTCTTTGTTAAATGATAATTCTTGACTCAATAATTCAGATTGGTGTCTAGGTATGTCTTGCCTTATGAGGACTTTTTGACTCAATATTTGACTTTTGTACATATATGTGTCTTTGTTAAATGATAATTCTTGACTCAATAATTCAGATTGGTGTCTAGGTATGTCTTGCCTTATGAGGACTTTTTGACTCAATATTTCACTTTTGTACATATATGCGTCTTTGTTACATAACTTCTTGATTCAATAACTGAGATTGGTGTCTGGCTTTGCTTTGTTTCTTTGAAGAATCCTTATCTGTTTATAATCCAGATTGATATTTGAATGTCTCTTTTTAGTTGAATTCTTGACTCAATAAATTTTTCAGTCTGTGTCTGTGGATTAAACTTGCATCAATAGAAATACAGAATTGTCAAAACAGAATGCATCAGAGGATATTGATACTGGACCAAGTGCTATGTAAACTTTGTGATAGATTCTATATGGTACCATTGAGACCCATTAACTGGGATTAAATAAGTTTTGTGTGAATCAACTGGAAATAAATCTTTCGGCTCTGCTTCCAGATTAGTGGCAAGTAGGTAGATATTGCCTTTAATAGGCTGCCCTATGTAGCTTTGACTCTAGGACATGTATGGTCTGTAGTAGCCGGACCAGTGGGAATTCAGCAGCAATTGTATCACACCTCACTGCCACTAAACCATTCAATCTACTACAGCCATTACTGTCTGTTGTAATGTTGGACGAGATTCAAAATTTTCTCTGCGGTTTTTTGACTTACAGTCTGTCTGTCAAATAAAACATTTTTTTTTATATCAATACATGTTGAATAGATATGATTCTGATACACGCAGACTTTCAGATTCCTCTCATATATCACACTTATTTCTATTGAAGGTTTATCAGTATTGTGGTGAATAGTTTACTATGGTATTGAACACTGTAGTAACACTAACAGACCAACCGTTCTTATTTATTTATCTGGGAATGCTTGAAATCAATAATCTAGGGTTTGTAGCTTTCAATATCCTTTTACATCATCTATATGACATAGGACCAGAACACCAGAAAAAGTTAGAGGGTCGTCATCATCAGATATAGCATGGATCAGTAGATCAGCCCCTATCACAGAGTCTATCTGCCAACACTTAATGGAATCTGCCTTTGTTCTTTACGTAATAGTGAGCTCAGAGTCTGATTAATCGGTAACCTAGCTTACATCACTCTTATGTTGATAAGTAATTGCTGCTAGGAATGAAACTGTCACTGCTTCTAGAATACAGAGATGTTTAAATCTCACGACGAATGTCCTAGCAGTGTAAGAGAGCTATCAAACAAACATATTAAACATCACCAAGTCATATACACTAACAACATTTGTTCTAGAAAAGAAAAAGTACTACCAAACAGACATGTTTAAATCATTTTCTGTACATTTTTTTCTAAAAATGGAATTCAGGTGTCAGACATTCTCCGTACATTTTGTCACTGAAGTAGAACAATGGGTTAGCTACAGAAAAGAAACGTTTTAAATCTCAAAATTTGTTTTAAGTGTGGTACAGGTATTCAGCATTCTCTGTGCATTCAGCATTCATTTTGGTTAGTATGTTCTAGAAGTGGAACAAGGATGCATGGATTATGTTATCTGAATTGACGTTCTAAATGTTCTTATATAGTCACACTTCCTCTATATGATGTACAATCATATTTAATAATTGTCAGTCACAGAAAATTGTTATGTCTTCATAGCTTTAATGTATATAAAATATGTCCCAGGTCTATGGTCATGAGTTGGTCTACCACTATGTATTATTGATGTAAGTTTAGATAATAGAAACTTCCTGTTTTAGCCATTTGTTGGTTACCAAGGAAATCAATTTTTGCCACTTTTTGGTTACCAAGGAAATAAGTTTTTGCCACTTGTTAGTTACCAAGGAAACTCGTACTCCTTATTGTAGTTATGATCGTGAGATCTGCTTCTCCCCCAGACCTCCCTCTAGAAGGAAGTTGAGGCATCATAATCACGTTTTGCCTTCTGAGATATGTGATTTAGTTAAAAGAAAGGAGGAGTTCTGTTGGGTTTTTGTAGAAATTGCAGCATTTTTCCAGCTGGCATTTGGTACTTACTATTACTGTTGTATCATGCAGAATCACTGCTGTACTAAAATATCTAATTGATTTATTACTACCTGCAGCAGGAGTTAAGCAGGATTTAAGCAGAATTTAAGCATGGGCCCAGTGTTGTTACTATTTTGACATTGCTGTATTCGGATTCCACCCTTCAGTTTATAATGTAACCAATGTAGGTTGTAATATTTTCACCGTCTATCACTTGGTTCATCTGATCAATCTGCAATATCACAGTGAGTGCACTGATTTGTTTGTTAGCCTCAGGACAGCAGCTATTTATCACCTTAATTGCCTTTTTAACATAGGTAATTAATGCAATTATTTCTTAATATAGTGTTTGTAAACTCAATAGACTTTATGGCTTGTATATGTTACTTCACTGTTAGGCCTTTATATCAACAGGAGTGTTGTTGAGACTCTTAAACAAATATAAAAAAAACTCATTTATTTCATAACAATTGCGAAACAAGGTCCAACTTATATTGACCACTCTTGCTGGCCTGGATGGAAGTGTGGGAAGGGAAAATCCACGTGGTCGGGCAGGTGTACTCATACATTGTCACATCCATACTGGGAATCATACCCCGAATGGTTAGGTGAAAGGCGAGTATGTTACCACTGCGCTAACGTACCACCCAAATAAAGACTCTTGAGAACTCTTGGGAAGTTGTATAGTTAACATGTTCAGTTTGAGCTGTCCAAAGTGGACATGACAGAATGTTGGTCCAAAGATGATGTAATAGAATAAAGTCAGAGTATATAGTGCCTAAAGTGGACGTGGCAGAGTGTATAACGTCCAGAGTGGACGTGGCAGAGTGTATAACGTCCAGAGTGGACGTGGCAAAGTGTATAACGTGAAGAATGGACGTGGCAGAGTGTATAACGTGAAGAATGGATGTGGCAGAGTGTATAACGTGCAGAGTGGACGTGGCAGAGTGTATAACGTGAAGAGTGGACGTGGCAGAGTGTATAACGTTAAGAGTGGACGTGGCAGAGTGTATAACGTGCAGAGTGGACGTGGCAGAGTGTATAACGTTAAGAGTGGACGTGGCAGAGTGTATAACGTGCAGAGTGGACGTGGCAGAGTGTATAACGTGAAGAGTGGACGTGGCAGAGTGTATAACGTGCAGAGTGGACGTGGCAGAGTGTATAACGTTAAGAGTGGACGTGGCAGAGTGTATAACGTCCAGAGTGGACATGGCAGAATGTTGTGTCCAAGGTTGAATGTAATAAATATGTAGATGTCCAGTCATAGTGGCAACATAATAATTCATGGGGATTTGTAGTTCAATTGTAATAAGAACACAATGGTTATCATGTATTGTTTGATGATTAGGGTAGCAGAACTTAGTATTTGAACACATACTTGTTAAAATCTTCTGATCGAAGTATATTTGAAAAAGTTAAATCTCCCTTTTCAAATTAAAGGGCATCTCTGTGAACTTTGTCAAACACATTTTCACTCATATTCAAGAAGGATATTTCTCAAACTTAATGTGTATTTTTCCACGGTCCTTAAGTTGTGTTCACTCCATTTTGAGACTGATCATTGAAACGAAATGGCTAATAGGTGTCCATCTTGGATTTCAACAAGTGGAAATTGTTATCTATATTTCAAGGGATGTAATAGAAAGATATTTCTCAAACTTTATATACATGATCCCCATGATTCCTAGTTGTCTCCAATTAATTTTGAGAATGAGCAGTGAAACAAAATAGCTAACAGGTCAGATAGTCATCTTTTTTCAAGTTTGATATC